ACAACCTTCGAAGAATCCCAACACTGGATCTGGGAAATCAATCGCCATCGTCACAAACCCTAAAAAAAAGGAATCTTTATCTTCTGCTACTTTAGCTTTACCAGCGATGAAATCAGGTTCGAAGCGGCCAAGTGAAGGTACTTCAAGAGACGGTAACGCGAAGAAGAAGAAGATCGGTGACGATACAAAGAAACCAGCTTTTCAAAGATTATGGAGTGAAGAAGATGAAATTGCTTTATTACAAGGAATGATTGATTTCAAAGATGATACAGGTAAGATTCCTTATGAAGACACTAATGGTTTTTACGAATTCATGAAGAAATCGCTTAGTGTTGAGGTTAGTAAGAGTCAGTTTATGGATAAGATTAGGAGTTTGAAGAAGAAGTATACTGGTAAAGGTAAGAATGGTAAAGAGGTTACGTTTTCGAAGCCTCATGATGTGAAGTCTTTTGGATTGTCAAAGTTTATTTGGGGACCTGAAGGAATGGGTATTGAATCTGCTAAGTCTAATGGGATATCGAAAAAGAGTCAGAGTAAGATGAAGAAGCTTGAATCTGTGAAGCAAGAGTTGTTTTCTGCTTCTTCGCCTAATAGTAAAATGGCTGAAGGAGGAGGAGATGATGATAAGAAGGTTTTGGTAGAGACGCGAAAGGCATCTGACTGGTTTGAGAACTCGTTTCTTGTTCGATCGATTGCGGGTTTCGGTGTTGATGAAGGTACTGTGAAACAAAGATGGAGCGAGGCGCCGGTCGAGCCAAAGAAGAAGATTGAAGAGAAAATGAAGGCTTTACGGGCTAAGGAAATGGATTTTGTGTTGCAAAAGACTCAGTTTTTGCACGATGTGGCCTCTATGATCGCTGAAGCATCTAAGCAATGAGATATAAAGATTTATCGGGTTTTTAATCGAAATGTAATGCGAATTCCTCTCTTTTGTTTTTGGAACTTAGGATTTACCCTTTCTCTCTTCCCTTTTCTATCTATGCGACTCTCTAGTTTTCTGGTGGTTTTATCTTTTGAAACACTCTGTTGTGGTTTTATCTTTTGAAAAACTCCGTTTTGGATTGTTGCTTTTATATAAAAACACCATGGAAGTATAATTCTGCCATGCTTGAGGCAAATTTGGTGAAATATTAACAAGATCTTTAGCAACTTATACTGAGTTTCTTCTGCAGAAATTTTGTTAAATTGTGTTTAGAACATTCGGTATTAATGATCTTTAGCAAGTTAGCTCTTAAGTATAATCCTGCAGAGACATTAGCAAATCATCAACACAAAGATCAATTGGTTCACAAAAAGCAAAACTCTTTTTAAGATCAATCAATGAAACAGAAGTTACAGAACCTTTCTAATGAACATTTTGACTTCAAAGCTCTATGATAATAATCATAAAAAGTCTTGAGATAACTTAGTAGATGAAAACGAATCAGCAAGTCAAGAAAGTTTGATTCTTAGGTGAGAATTACTTAAAGAAGAGTTAGTTCTACAAAGATCACGTGCTTACCTTCTACAAAAGCGTTTTGATCAATGGTTGTACCAAATCAGCAAAGACTATTTGCATTTTTTTAACTTCTTATATATAAAAAGTCTCAAGACCATAAACTTATAACAACCAATTCTCAAATCTCTGAATTTTAAACAGTAAAAATCAGATTAGAATTATGGATCAGACTGTTCTAACCACCGAATCGAAGAAGGCTTGTGTCATCGGTGGTACAGGAAACTTAGCCTCTATTCTCATCAAGCATTTGCTTCAAAGTGGTTACAAAGTTAACACCACAGTTAGAGATCCAGGTTTTTCACTTTCTTCTTCTCTTAAGGTATTTTTCAATGTTTATGTTTAGCGACTCTTTATTCTGAAATTGCAGAAAATGAGAAGAAAATGTCTCACCTTAGGCCACTTCAAGAACTCGGCGACCTCGAGATCTTCAAGGCGGATTTGACCGATGAAGATAGTTTTGATTCCTCAATCTCAGGCTGTGAATACATCTTCCATGTTGCAACGCCAATCAACTTTACATCTGAAGATCCCGAGGTCTGATCATAAACAGATTTGTGTTTCAAGCTTTTATTTGATTCTAAGAGAAACATTTCAAGCTATTCTTGTTTGTGTTTCAATATACAGAGAGACATGATCAAGCCGGCGATACAAGGAGTGATCAATGTGTTGAAATCTTGCTTAAAATCGAAAACAATCAAGCGCGTAATCTACACTTCTTCAGCTGCTGCGGTCTCCATCAACAATCTTTCTGGACCTGGACTTGTGATGAACGAAGAAAACTGGACTGACATTGATTTTCTCCGAAACGAAAAGCCGTTTAATTGGGTAATATAACTTCTTGCGACACAAGCTAGGGTTTTTTTCCTTACATAAACCAGTTTACTTATACCTCTCTGTTCTTTTCTAGGGTTACCCAATCTCAAAGATGTTAGCAGAAAAGGCAGCTTGGAAATTTGCTGAAGAGAATAAGATCGATCTCGTTACCGTGATTCCGGCACTCATAGCCGGAAACTCTCTCCTCTCCGTTCCTCCTCCGAGCAGTTTATCTCTCTCCATGTCTTTAATCACCGGTAAACACGAATTTACTATTTTAACCGCAAAGTTTTCAGGATAAGACTCAAGCTGATTGGTTTTGTTGTTAGGGAAAGAGATGCATCTGATTGGTCTCAAGGAAATGCAGAAGCTATCTGGCTCTATCTCGTTCGTCCACGTTGACGATTTGGCTCGTGCCCATTTGTTTCTTGCGGAGAAAGAAACAGCTTCCGGTCGTTACATTTGTTGTGCTTACAACACAAGTGTTCCAAAGATTGCGGATTTTCTCAGACAGAGATATCCTAAGTACAATGTGATTTCAGAGTAAGCACTTATTTCCACAGAAATTGCAAATCTCAATGGAGAATTCGGTTTTTTTCTCTCATAGATTTTCGTTGTGAATTTTGGCAGATTCGAAGAGTGCTTGTCGATAGCGAAATTGACGCTATCTTCGGAAAAACTCATCAGTGAAGGCTTTCGATTTGAGTATGGGATCAATGAGATGTATGATGAAATGATAGAGTACTTTGAGTCAAAAGGATTGATCGAAGCTAAACAATCTTGATTTTTATCAATGTAAAATATGGATTTTATGAGAGTATATGAGTCTTTGATCTCATTCTCATGCTATAAATGGTACTAAATAATATCTTGGTTGATTTTTATACCGTTTGTCTTTTGATACATAAATATTACGTGTTTGGAAATTAAACATGTTTTAAGTGGCCCTCTAGGGTTTCGGATAACAAGGAAAGTCCCCAAA